ATAACCAATCCCGAAACACGAAATCTGAAGATTTCTAAGTTGCGAAACCAAATTCAGATTTTTGCTTTAATCTGTACCTTCTACGAATTGCAAGGCACAACATACGTTGATAAAGATGTAATTAGAGACATGGGGAATCTAAAATTACATTCCACAATATATCTCTTCAACTAAGCAAAAACCCATAAAGAGTATATCGAAATAAAAGGAAAGACAGTTAACATTTGCTTTTACGTATAGTGTATTTGTACATCCGCTTATATGTATTTTATCCTAAAAGAAATCTTCGGAGCCACTATTTACAGCAGTTCTGAACGTGAAAACAATATTTCCTGTCGTAATAGAAGCCACACTACAATGACTTCGATATAAACGCAATACGGACATCTGATAATAAATCCCGAAACTCGAAATCCGAAGATTTTTAATTGTTGAAACGAAATTCACATTTTTGCTTTAATTTGTGCCTTCTAAGAATTGCAAGGCAAAACAGACGTTAATAAAGATGTAATTAGAGACACGGGGAATCTAAAATTGCATTTCACACTATGTCTTCTCAACTAAGTAAAAATCCTTGGCGAATTGGTTTCTAGTACTCATAGAGAGTACATTGAAATGAAAGGAAAGACAGGTAAGATTTGATTTCACGTGTAGTGCATCTGTATATCCGATTATAGGTCTTCATTGTAAAAGGAAACTTCGGAGCATCTATTTACAGACGCCCTGAACGTAAAAACAATATTTCTTGTCGTAATAGAAGCAACATTAAACTGGTTTCGATATGGACGCAATAGCGACATCTGATAATAAATACCGAAAATTGAAATCCGAAGATTTCTTATTGTCGAAACCAAATTCAGATTTTTGTTTTAATCTGTGCCTTCTAAGAACTGCAAGGCAAAACAGACGTTAATAAAGATGTAGAGACATGGGGAACCTAAAATTGCATTTTACATCATATCTTCTCAACTAAGTAAAAATCATTGGCGAATTGGTTTCTATTACTCATAGAGAGTACATTGAAATTAAAAAAAGCGATTTCGTTTTTTCTTTTAGCGACTTCCTTCTTTGCTTCCCTGTTGAGTCTGCTGTAAATTCTACGGTCTTCTGAGTCTCTCGTGTATAGCCATGTTTGATAAGCTTTTTTTTGTCTTTAATTAATTTTCCTACTTCTTCGTTTCACTACTCAGGATTGTTTCTTTTGTCAGCTTCTTTGTACCCCAATGCCTCTTTGACCGCCAGATGAATGCAATTTTTTTTCGAGTTTCTCTTCGAGTTAAGTTAGTTAGTTTTGAGGCTAGTCTAAGTTTGTAGAGGAATTGTACTGATTCTTGTTTTAGGCTATCAATATTATATCTTATCTTTGTGGAAGCTGCTACCCTCTCCTGTTCAATTTTGTTCTTGTTTACTTTCCTGTAGTGTATGGTTATTTTTGCGACCACTATATAGTTGTCAGATCCGCCTTCGGCACCACGATACACCCTTACGTCATTTGTTTGGAGCCTTTTGTTTTCTGGTTGAATGAGATAGTCGATTATAGATCTTATCTTTTTCTTTGGTTGTTCCCAGGTAAATTTATGTATATCTTTGTGCTGATAAAATCCATTCATTATTTTAAGCTGTCATGTTTCACAAAAATCAATGAGTCGCCCTCCGTTGTTGTTTATTTTGTCTTTACCATATCTTCTTGAAACATTCTCTTGTAATTTTTTGCCTACCCAAGCATTGAAATCTCCTACTAGGCATATTTCTTTAGGTCGGTTTACATGGGTTAACACGTCAAGCAATTTGTCGTAGAATTCATCCTTAACTTTTGTATCAGAATCGTCACTAGGATCATATACTCCTATTATAAGTATTTTCTCCCCATGTTTCTCAAGATCCATCATAATGATCTGCTCGTTTATCTCTTCCCAACTCTGGATATTGTTTTTGAGTTTTGTATGCACGGCTAAAGACACACCTCTTTTTGCTCTTAATGATTTTTTAACTCCACTGTATAAATGAATATAGTCGTTCTTGATTTCATTTCCCCTTCCTTTCTTTATTGTTTTTGTAAGAACGCATATGTCTATTTGTTGTCGTTATAATTCTTGAAAAACTTCAGTTTTCTTGGTTCTTAGACCTTGTACATTCCATGTGGCCAATTTCATAGTCCTTTTTCGTAGCAGTCGTCGTCTTTTGTTTCCGTCCTTATTCCAAGGCCCCTGATCGAAATTTTTAGCAAATAATTTAGCTTCTTGGTTAACCGAGACAAAAGTCGTAACTGGTGAGTGACAATATTGCGAATAGTTATACGCTGTTGGGCTGAGCCGGAATTTTCAGAAATTGGTGATCGCCTTATTTTCAGGAAGGTCTGTATCGTATTTTGTCTACATTTATTGTTTCTATGTTAACCAGAGTAAAATGGAGAAGAGTGAATCAACAAGGAAGGTTGCTTCAGACTTAGATGTTGGAGAAGTAACTGTTGGAGATTGGAAGCCTGTGCGAAATGAAATCGAACAGTATGTTAACCGAAGTGTGATTGTTGGGAATGGATTGGCGCGGAAGACCATGAAGAAAGGAGACCACGGACAAACTTCTGAGGCGTTGTTGTTGTGGTTTTTACAAATAAAAGGATCGGGTAGCTCGATAAGTGACCCAATACACCAAGCAAAAACTATTGCATTCCACAAAAAGTGTATGTATAAAGGTGAAAACTTTTGTGCTAGTAAGGAATCGATTTACTCATGGAAAAAAATATGGTATCCGACAATTACATTTTTGTTGCGAAAAACTTTGTGATAACTCAACTGAAATTGGAATATTTTATTTAAAATTACAAGAGATTATCTAAGGATTGACTGATTAAAATGCTTCCTTCGAAAACACTAGCCGCTAAAAATGAAGAAATTGCATGAGGTTACAAGAATAGCAAAGAGAGAGTCACAATCATGATGTGCAACCATTCTTCTAACTCGTTAAAATTACAACCTTTTTCAACAGAAAAATCCAAAAGTTCAAGGACATTCAAAAATATCCAAGTAAATTGCTTAACTACAACCTACAAAAACAAAAGCAATGCTTGGATGGACTGTATCATTATTAAGGACTACTTTTTTAATGACTGTGTACCAGTTATTGGCCTAAAAAAACAAAAATCTGCCTGCGAAAGCTTTGTTGTGGCTGCACAACTCACGATCTCTCCAAGACGCGAGTGAATTGATTAGTGGTGACATAAGAGGTGTGTTCCTCTCACTCAATCCACAAACTCCTAGGCCAATTCGTGATATAACCAATGAAAAGGAATAATCACCGAAGGCTTCTTCAGGTACTACTGAACAGGCTAAATGAAGGATTGACTGTAATTGACGCAATGAAGAAGATCACAATTGAAGATGGTTGCCATTGGATTGCATCTGATTCAGATAGAAAACAAAACACTGGATATTCAGAAAGAAACTAATGACTATAAAGTTAATACTATAATAGCCAACCTAGCCAATCGGAATACAAGATGTCATCGATTGGAGAAATGGAGATAAAGAAATGGAACTGACAGATGACGCAATTTTCGATCTGATTCTATACATTAACCATGAAGAAGAAGAGGATACAGATGAGATATCTCGAAACATTTCTCATTTCGATGGGTTAAATTGGTTATTAAAATAACCACATTTATCGTCATTTACGGTGTTTTTCTATCTGTACAACCAATCTTGGTGTTAACCGAATTTTTTCGTATCCGAGGTAGTCACGGTCCTAATTACCTCGGATAACCGCGAGTTTACTGTATTATCTCTTTGTTTTTAGAAAGTGGTGATACTTATGTGCCTATGGTAATTTATCTCTATATGTGATTTCCAGAAAAAATTCAAAATCACTAACCCCAGAATAAGTAATTGGACAGAGCGCTTACGGATGGATGACGAGTGAAACGTTTTTTGAATACATTGCCAACGTTTTTCGTCCTCCCCTTGTAAAAAACAATATAAAATTTCCCTTTATCCTATTTTCAAAAGGACATAAATCTTGTTTGACTATGTTTTGAGCGTTCTATGCAGTGAACTACAAATAGAGAGATGTTTGCGCTATACCAAAACCACAAGGATTTTACAGAACTGGGATGTGGTAATTTTTCGACCTTTCGTCGATGTGTTAGACAGTGGAATAAAGAACATCCAGAAGAAGTCCTCAACAATGTCACTTTAGCTTTCAAGCCCTTTAGACACGTATAAAACCAGAAACACTAATTAATGGCTAAAAGAGAAATCGTACGATTTCTATCTGGCGAAATCGAATTCAAATTTTTACCACTGTGCTTTCTAAAACTTTCAAAGCAAACAGCTTGATAAATTACTCGGCAAGGGAATCTAAAATTGCATTCCAAATGCCGTTCATCATGGTCAAAATTCGTGCTGAATTCAATTTCGGGTACTCCAAGCGGAGTAAAGAAATAAAATATAAACCGCTATATAATAATATACAATATAATATAAGCCGCTGCTCAGTATCCAAACAGAAATCTAGTACCGTCTTTATATTTTATTTCTTTACTCCTTTACTCGGATTGCAGAAATTCATCTGTTATTGACCTGCCTTGCATAAAACCAAATTGGTCGAATAGTTTCTTTGCGTATCCTTCTATGAAGTACTTTCTCCCATGTTTTTACGATGTGACTAATAACTTTTATATATTCAATGCAATGTCACATAAAATTATCGTCTAAAATTACAAAATTAACCATCTTATTAATAAAAAGCTAAATAATTGCTATATCGATAATGTGTCATATTTAACAAGGATATTATCTAGTGTTCTAATATTATAATGATTTACATAATAGCAGTTAATTACAAAGAGTGACCATAAACAAAAATAGGAACATCCTGTCTTAAACGATATTTATGTAAAAATTGCATGTTTAGAAATTGTTATTAAAATTGTATAAAAATGTGTGAATTACGTGGGATATTAACTAAGTGATTTGTGCGAATTCCGATAACAGTCACACAATATGAAACGATTTATATTTTTGGCGTTTTTAGTTTGTGGTGCAATGGTGAGTATATTTTGGTGGTTTCCTGATTATCATCTATCATTTAATTTTTATGTTACCCGAAATTATACTTAAAATCTTTTCAATTAAAAAAATGTATTTATTTTTCTTTTTTTTTTTTTCTCCTGTAATTCAAGGATTGGGCTTGCAGCCTGTTCCGTCTTGATTCTGGCCATCTTTTCTGGGCTTATCCTATCTATAAGCCAAGAAAATATTTTTCTTCTATTACTGCTCTTGCTCTTTAACTTTCCATCCATTATTGGTCGTATATTATTGTATATGTCGATATGAACAGACTAGTCGTGTTTTGATTTTTACGTTTCCTATTATTTTTTATTGTTTATTAATTATTCGCTTCTTCTTCTTCTTCGTCTAGCCATTCACGTCCACATCTGAACATAAGCCTCTTCAAGTCTTCCTTTCCATTGTTTTTTATTGTACGCTACTTGTAGCCAATTTTTCCCGGCAGAGTCATATTCAGATCATCCGTCCATAGGAGGTCTGCCATTAATTATTCGCAATAATTCGTAATTTAAAATATGGCTTTTGTAGATAATGAATAGTGATATAAATATTGTTGAATTTTATGCTGTTGAGTATTTTAAAGGTCATTGATTATTGAGTATATAATACGCTGGGCACTCGTAATAGCTAATGAACATTTTTTTGGTTTTGAAAAAAACTACAAAAAGAAATGTGATGCTAAATCAAATAGGGAAGGAAGTATTAAAAATGTATGAGAGTTTGAAAGATGACGACACTTGGGCTCAGAAAATTGACCCAAGTAATGAAAGTCTGGTCACGTTGCATTGTCATATATTGTATATAATATCATCATATTATCATGTATCATAATATTATAATATTTGTTTTTCTGTGCCATGTTTTGTAACGTATACAAACTATTTACTGATGTACACAAATAATATAGTTACTTTTTGTTCGTGTTGGAAGAGTTTAAGTTTGGTTTTTTCAAAACTCATATAGACACTGTTTGTATTATCTTTAAAATTAAAATAAATTGGGCACCATCCAATAACAGTTTACTCTCGCAAGGAAACGAGCTTAGACAGAGAAATTAAATGAAAAATTTAAAACAAAGCGTCAAAGGAAACTGGGAACTAAACACTAAAATGCTACGTGATTTCGATACTCCAATATGGACTTGAAATCTGGACATTGAAGCAAGAGCACATAAAAAAGTTTCAGGTCTTTTAAAATGTGGTGTTACAGGAGAATGCTTAGAATAGCATAAACACAAAAGAAAACTAACACGGAAGTATTGCGAGAAATGGGCAAAGATTGTAAAATAATAAAGTCAATAAAAATAAAAAAGTTATATGGGATACGTAATCAGGGGACAGCGATATGAACTTCGTAGGCTGATAATACAGGAAAAGATTAAAGGAGAAAGGAGTACAGGAAAAAGGAGTAGACTTAATAACTTTCCATTGGATGTTAGGTTTTTTATATTGTTCTTTTTAGATAAACTGATGATGCTATCAAATTGGATAGCGAAACGGTTACAATAAATAGATGAAGTAGCCATCATCTTTGTCTTTTTTTTCTCCAACTTCTGACCGAAAAACCCACCACTCTTCGAGTGATCCTTAATTTGCATATATATATATATATATATATATATATATATATATATATATATTATATATATATATATATATATATATAAATATATATATATATATATATATATATATATATAGAAAAGAAATTTAATCTTTGCAGTTAAGTTAAATAGTAAACTCTTAAATATTGGGGAAATCTGCAAGAAAAACTCTAATGTGTATCAATTGTTTCGCCCAACGTTTTCGCCAAAGAGAATTAATTTGGCTTCTTCAGGGCTGAAAGAGAATAAATTATAATTAGCTACCATATATTATCTAATAAAAAACATTTACCTTACCGTAAATTTTAGAAATGTCGAGTTATGATGTTAAAAAACTTTAGCTAGTAACAACATAGTGGTGTTTTTTTTGTTACTATGTGCAAAAAAGTTATTTCTGTTAACGTTGGAAATGTATGGTAGCTTTGAACTTAAAACGCAAAAGTTTACCCAAGGTTAATCGAAAAACCCAATGTAACTATATTTAAAGGAAGTAATTCTTTGAATTGTCAGCAATAACTAAATTTTTGATTGTTATAAAGTTTGAATGTGAGGTTCTCTTTTCATAGAAAGCAAGCGCTGACAATTACAAGTAGTTTTTTTGAATATTTATGTCGTTAAGGTTCATTGGTAAAATCGATGATGTTAGATCCCAGTCTGGGAGATATTAGTTTAGAATTTTCTTAATTGAAATTATTTTTTAATTAGTATATTGTTTATGTATTATTATAATAATATCTTATTGAGATGTATCTAAGAAAATCAAGAGAATGTTATCTTTTTTAGTTAATGAAAATTATTATTAAAGTAGGTTAGTTGTTTTTTTTTGTCATCCAAGGTTTTCGGCTTTCTGTATTCTTTTGTAGAATTACTTTCTGTATTTTTATAACAGAATCTTTAATGTAGCTCCACACAATGTTAAATTGTTTAGTGTTTTCCATTTCTGATGTTAATTTCTTCATTTCTTGATTGATACAAGTTGAATTTTTAGCACTGATTTCGTTTTTCTTGAGTAACTGAATATTCACATTAAAACTTTTGGATTTTATTATCTTTTTACTCTCAGTTTTTTTTGAGACAAGGAAATTAGGGTCTAAGTGGACATCTGCTATAGGAAAAGTCTTAACGCTTACAATGATATTTTTAAATCTTATATTGGTTTGAATAAAGCCGATCTGATTTCTAATGCAATTTTAGTCATTATCCTGTAGTGACCTCCAGGTAAACAGTCTATGGAGAGGTAATCAAAACCCATAATGTACACCCATCATCGAGTTAAAATCTATGGAGAAGCTATGAGTATATTATTGTTTATATTGACAACGCCGTCAGTAGGTGTGGCTAATGATCATACCAATATGGCGGTGGAATCGGGGCCAGACTTAATAATATTAAAACTACTATACAAATTTATTCAGAAGATTTAATCAAATTAACATACAACATAAAATTAACTGACTTTTAAAAATTTAGTTCAATTAAAAAAGGCTAATAATAGAGGGAAAGATAAGATGAGGCAGGAGTATAGGAAGAAGGAGAGTGTCATGGTTGAAGAATTTAAGAGACTAGTTTAAATGCAGTTCTATAGAACTCTTTAGAGCAGCAGTAGATAAAGTAAAGATAGTGACAAAGATGTTAGATGTTAGAAATGGTGTTAGACAGAGGAGAAAGTGTTTCTTGTGGAGCATTATTTTTGCTCATACGGAATCGGCCCACGTAATAGTGCAAGTCTGCAATACGTGTGTGATCACTTCACACTACGGTTTAATAAACGTTCTCCAAGAAATTCTGTTATTTTGAAGGTTGCTAAAAAGTTTAGAAATGCGGGTAATGTATTATGCCAACCAAAACGAAACTCATTGCGTCCCAGGACAGTTAACAACAACGATAACCATGAACGTGTTTTTGAGAGAATCTTGGAAAATCCGACGGCCAGCCAAACAAGAACAGCTTTGCATATTGGCTTAAAACAAATGTCCTTGCAAAGAATCCTGAAGAAGCTGGGTGCGTTTTCGTATTTAATTCAGGTACATCAACAATTAGTTCAAGAAGTTGTATAGCAAAAGTGAGTGTCAGGTGTGCAGTTTTGGGACACGGAATCATTGGTCCATACTTTATCGAAAAAATGGTAGGCAAATCACACTTAATCAATAGAGGTACATACAAATTTTAACACGATTCATCCCTGATCTACGCCAATTTTGTCGTGCACGTAATTTCGCATTTCGAGACCAATTTTTCCAGCAGGATGAAGCAACTTGCCATACTACTGTCGCAATTCGTCAATTTCTATAGGGTCATTTTCCAAACAAATTCATTTCACGATTTATTGACTTCTCCTATCCTGCACGTTCTCCAGACTTAACATCGTCAGACGCATACATTTGGGGCATGGCTAAAATTGCAGGTCTTAAACGGGCACCACAAACCATCTATGAGTTAAAGGATAGCGCTAGAGCCTCCTTCGCAGACTTGAGCTCTTTATTCCATAACATTACGAGAAATCTGAAATATCGGTATGAAGTCTGTCTTGAGAGAGGAGGAGCTCATTTAGAACATGTTTTAAAGTGTTATATCCAAACTCCGATTGAAAGCCGGCACTTAAAGAAGAAGAAAAAAGTTAAAAAAGTTATTATAAAAAAAAAATTTGACCATATAACACCAGATTTATTTGGTTTCCATATTCCTCTGTTAACAAATTTGTACCTAATGTCTCGTCTTTCAGGATCTTTTGGAAACCTAAAAATACAATTATGTGCATCACTAAATATTAATAACAAATTTATATTTTAAATAAAAAATATGATTATTGAACTAAAAATATTATAAATTGTTACAAATTGTTTATTAGTATCTTTATATTCTGTATATTCATTACTTATATTTTATTGGAAGTGGATGTTTTAATTCTTCTTCAAGTGCCGTCTTCGTTCCGAGGTTTGGCTATCATCAAAGCTATGCGTATTTTTGATGCTGCAGATCTAAACAGTTGGTAATTGGTGCAATTGTACCATTCTCTCAAGTTTTTCAACCATGAATGCCTTCTTCTTCCTATAGATCTCTTTCCCATTATCTTTCCCTGTATAATCAATTGCAGCAACTGGTATTTATCTCCCCTCATAACATGTCCCAAATATTGTAGTTTGCGCTTTTTAACAGTAAGTATCAGCTCTTTCTCTTTCCGCACTCTCCGCAAAACCTCCACATTTGTTACTTTCTCTGTCCAGGGTATTCTTAATATTCTACGATACATCCACAACTCAAATGCTTCTATCTTTTTGGTATCGATCTTTTTCAATGTCCATGTTTCCATCCCGTAGAGGAGAACTGACATAACGTAACATCTCAAAAGGCGAATTTTAAGTTTTAGACTTAGATC